CACAGTTGATTGACAGTTGAGAGGCGGGACTAGAGAGCCAAAGCTCAACCCCCGCAAGCACAAATAGGTGAGTACACACACTCAGGAAGCAGCTGTCTAACTCCCAGGTACCTATTTACTGCTAGGTATAAAAGGCACTACGGGCTCACCATAGCCCGTGCTACTTGGAACTTTGTTCCAGGTAGCGAATCTTTAACAACAACAACTGCTAGGTAACAGGGGCATTCCGGTGAAAGAAACTTTGTCCATTTGTTTCTGCCTGGTCCGGGAATCAAACCCGGGCCACAGAATTATGAGTCCTACGCGCTGTCCACTCAGCTACCAGACTCCATATGTGTACTCACCTAATCACCTAATTGTACTCACCTAATTGTGCTTGTGGGGGTTGAGCTTTGGCTCTTTGGTCCCGCCTCTCAACCGTCAATCAATAGGTGTACAGGTTCCTGAGCCTATTGGGCTCTATCATATCTACATTTGAAACTGTATATGGAGTCAGCCTCCACCACATCACTTCCTAATGCATTCCATTTGTTAACCACGGGTGTGTGTGTGTGTTTTTACTAGTTGTGTTTTTGCGGGGGTTGAGCTCTGTTCTTTCGGCCCGCCTCTCAACTGTCAATCAACTGTTTACTAAATACTTTTTTTTTTTTTTTTTTTCCACACCACACACACACACACACCCCAGGAAGCAGCCCGTGACAGCTGACTAACTCCCAGGTACCTATTTACTGCTAGGTAACAGGGGCACTTAGGGTGAAAGAAACTTTGCCCATTTGTTTCTGCCTCGTGCGGGAATCGAACCCGCGCCACAGAATTACGAGTCCTGCGCGCTATCCACCAGGCTACGAGGCCCCTGTGTGTGTGTGTGTGTGTGTGTGTGTGTGTGTGTGTGTGTGTGTGTGTGTGTGTGTGTATACTCACCTATTTGTGCTTGCGGGGGTTGAACTTTGGCTCTTTGGTCCCGCCTCTCAACTGTGTGTGTGTGTGTGTGTGTGTGTGTGTGTGTGTGTGTGTGTGTGTGTGTGTGTGTGTGTGTGTGTGTGTACTCACCTAATTGTGCTTGCGGGGGTTGAGCTCTTGCTCTTTGCTCCTGCCTCTCAACCGTCAATCAACAGGTGTACAGGTTCCTGAGCCAATTGGGCGCTATCATATCTACACTTGAAACTGTGTATGGAGTCAGCCTCCACCACATCACTTCCTAATGCATTCCATTTGTCAACCACTCTGACAGTAAAAAAGTTCTTTCTAATATCTCTGTGGCTCATTTGGGCACTCAGTTTCCACCTGTGTCCCCTAGTGCATGTGCCCCTTGTGTTAAATAGACTGCCTTTATCTACCCTATCAATTCCCTTGAGAATCTTGAATGTGGTGATCATGTCCCCCCCCCTAACTCTTCTGTCTTCCAGCGAAGTGAGGTTTAATTCCCGTAGTCTCTCCTCGTAGCTCATACCTCTCAGCTCGGGTACTAGTCTGGTGGCAAACCTTTGAACCTTTTCCAGTTTAGTCTTATCCTTGACTAGATATGGACTCCATGCTGGGGCTGCATACTCCAGGATTGGCCTAACATATGTGGTACACAAAGTTCTGAATGATTCCTTACACAAGTTTCTGAATGCCGTTCTTGTGTGTGTACTCACCTATATGTACTCACCTATATGTGCTTGCAGGATCGAGCATTGACTCTTGGATCCCGCCTTTCGAGCATCGGTTGTTTACAGCAATGACTCCTGTCCCATTTCCCTATCATACCTGGTTTTAAAATTATGAATAGTATTTGCTTCCACAACCTGTTCCTGAAGTGCATTCCATTTCCCCACTACTCTCACGCTAAAAGAAAACTTCCTAACATCTCTGTGACTCATCTGAGTTTCAAGCTTCCATCCATGTCCTCTCGTTCTGTTACTATTCCGTGTGAACATTTCGTCTATGTCCACTCTGTCAATTCCTCTGAGTATCTTATACGTTCCTATCATGTCCCCCCTCTCCCTTCTTCTTTCTAGTGTCGTAAGGCACAGTTCCCTCAGGCGCTCTTCATACCCCATCCCTCGTAGCTCTGGGACGAGTCTCGTTGCAAACCTCTGAACCTTTTCCAGTTTCATTATATGCTTCTTCAGATGGGGACTCCATGATGAGGCGGCATACTCTAAGACTGGCCTTACGTAGGCAGTGTAAAGCGCCCTAAATGCCTCCTTACTTAGGTTTCTGAATGATGTTCTAACTTTTGCCAGTGTAGAGTACGCTGCTGTCGTTATCCTATTAATATGTGCCTCAGGAGATAGATTAGGTGTTACGTCCACCCCCAGGTCTCTTTCACGCGTCGTTACAGGTAGGCTGTTCCCCTTCATTGTGTACTGTCCCTTTGGTCTCCTATCTCCTAGTCCCATTTCCATAACTTTACATTTGCTCGTGTTGAATTCTAGTAGCCATTTCTCTGACCATCTCTGCAATCTGTTCAGGTCCTCTTGGAGGATCCTGCAATCCTCATCTGTCACAACTCTTCTCATCAACTTTGCATCATCCGCAAACATCGACATGTAGGACTCTACGCCTGTAAACATGTCGTTAACATATACAAGAAATAGAATTGGTCCCAGCACCGATCCTTGTGGTACTCCACTTGTTACTGTTCGCCAGTCCGACTTCTCGCCCCTTACCGTAACTCTTTGGCTCCTTCCTGTTAGGTAGTTCCTTATCCATTCTAGGACCTTTCCCCCCACCCCCGCCTGCCTCTCGAGCTTGAACAGCAGTCTCATGTGCGGTACTGTATCAAAGGCTTTTTGGCAGTCCAGAAATATGCAGTCTGCCCAACCATCTCTGTCCTGTCTTATCCTCGTTATTTTATCATAGAATTCCAGAAGGTTTGTTAGGCACGATTTCCCTGTCCAGAACCCATGTTGATGTTTGTTCACAAACCTAATGTTCTCCAGGTGTGCAACCAGTCGTAGCCTAATTATTCTTTCCAGTATTTTACAGGGGATGCTTGTCAGTGATACAGGTCTGTAGTTAAGTGCCTCCTCCCTATCTCCTTTCTTGAAGATCGGCACGACATTTGCCTTCTTCCAGCAACTGGGCAATTCTCCTGACATAAGTGACTCATTAAAGATCATTGCCAGAGGCACGCTGAGGGCCTGTGCTGCTTCTTTTAGTATCCACGGTGATACTTTGTCTGGTCCAACTGCTTTAGTTGCATCTAGAGTTGTCAACTGTTTCATTACCTCCTCTGCTGTCACCTCTATATCTGATAGTCTTTCATCTAGGGTAACCCCTTCCAACAATGGGAGCTGCTCAGGCTCGGTAGTGAACACTCCATGGAAACTGGCATTCAGTGCCTCGCAGATTTCCTTGTCACTTTCAGTATATGCCCCCTCTGTCTTCCTTAGTCTTGTCACTTGGTCGTTCACCGACATTTTTCTTCTTATATGACTGTGTAGTAACTTAGGTTGTTTTTTCGCTTTGATTGCAATATCGTTCTCATAGTCCCTTTCCGATGTTCGTCTTATGTTAATGTAATCGTTCCTAGCTCTGTTGTATCTGCTTCTGTTGTCCTCTGTTCTTTGTCTTCTGTACTTCCTCCACTCCCGCCTGCTGGCCATTTTTGCTTCCTGACACTGTCTATTAAACCATGGGTTATTATATTCCCTCTTATTTTTCCCTTTACCGTTGGTATAAATCTCTCTTCGGCCTCCTGGCATTTCTGTATGACTAGGTCCATCATATCTTGGACTGTTTTTCCTCTAATTTCTTCCTCCCACTGCACTTCACCCAGATAGTCCCTCATCCTCATATAGTCCCCTTTCCTGTAGTCAGCTCTCCTTTCCCAGATCTCTTGTCCCATGGTCATAAGTTTGAATTCCATCATGTAGTCAAAGACTAGGACACAATGGTCACTGGCCCCTAGAGGTATTTCATGCTCTAAATTCTCGATATCTTCTACGTTCTGGGTGAAAATCAGGTCTAATAGGCTCGGTGCATCTCCTCCTCTTTCCCTTGTGTCTTCCTTCACATGTTGTGTCAGGAAATTCCTGTCTATAACATCTACTAATTTGCTCCCCACGTTTCGTCCCCTCCATGGGGATTCCTTGATTCCCAATTTATCTCTCCATGATTTAGGTCCCCCATGATCAGCAGCTTCGCTCTCATTCTGTGTGTGTGTGTGTGTGTGTGTGTGTGTGTGTGTGTGTGTGTGTGTGTGTGTTTGTTATCTTGAGATTATCTTGAGATGATTTCGGGGCTTTAGTGTCCCCGCAGCCCGGTCCTAGACCAGGCCTCCACCCCCAGGAAGCAGCCCGTGACAGCTGACTAACTCCCAGGTACCTATTTACTGCTAGGTAACAGGGGCATTCAGGGTGAAAGAAACTTTGCCCATTTGTTTCCGCGCCACAGAATTACGAGTCCTGCGCGCTATCCACCAGGCTACGAGGCCCCTATGTGTGTGTGTATTCTGCACATATCTTTCATTACAACCTGCACGTCTACAAGCAGGTTCAATAATTGTAAAAACTGGTTCTATAACTCTATAATTTGCTGCTGTCAGACCCAACCAAAGACAGTAAGGCGGGGGAGGGACAGGTTTGACACGTTGGGGAAAACATGTGTGAGGGAGTCAGGTCTGACGCACTGGGGTAGACAAGTGTTAGGAGAAGACAAGTGTCAGGAGGGTTGGGTTTAACACGCTGGGGACGACAAGTGACAGGTGGGGGGAAGACAAGTGTGTGAGGTGGGGGTGGAAGACAAGTGTGTGAAGACAAGTGTGTGAGGTGGGGTGTGTGAAGACAAGTGTGTGAGGTGGAAGACAAGTGTGTGAGGTGGAAGACAAGTGTGTGAGGTGGAAGACAAGTGTGTGAGGTGGAAGACAAGTGTGTGAGGTGGGGGGAAGACAAGTGTGTGAGGTGGGGGGAAGACAAGTGTGCGAGGTGGAAGACAAGTGTGAGTATCTCAGGTCTGACACTTTGAAAGACTAGTGAGCTAAAGACAATTATGCTACAACCAATAAGACTGACCTGAGACTACGAGGGCTTCGTTGGGTCCCACGGTGTGGATGTTGCCCATAGTTGCTAAGTGTGGGTCACAACCACCGGGGTCACACACAGGTCAAGGGGTCACCAGTCACAACACAACAAGTGCCTCACAACAGCTAAGACTCCACTACGTAAACATGCAGACGACGCCCAGCTGCGCTGCCTCTACTGCGCGCCAACCTCATGTACCCCACTGGACGCTACTTGTATCACTTGCCGCACATAGTACAACGGTTCAGGCAACACACGCCACGGACGGACACGTTACGGAGGCGTAATGCAGAGATAAACAAGCAGTTGTGTTATGATAAAAGGGCGGAGGTCCGAAGCCCACCAACACACATTCCCCACATGAGTCCAGCGAGCTACTGGCTCGACCCCAGCCAGTGAACCGGTATTTACGTGCCGAGCTCGGATGTTTCGCTGCAATTTTTACTACCACATTGTTTTGGGGGATAATAATGACCTAAACTAACTAACTTCCTTAATTCAATTATTTATTTCCCCCAAAGAATAATCCCATGAACACTGTATATAGAATAGATAAAAATACTGCTAAGGAACCCACAAAACACTCGATCTCTTTTTCAATTAATATAATAAATAAGATATATTAAATATCAGGACAGAACCGCATCAAATATTTTCAAAATTCCATTACAAACTTCTTATTTTTAAATATATTAAACGTGTCGAATTTGATACAAAATTTATTCAGTGGCAACGCATATTCTGGGAAGGATTGCTTCCTCAACTCAATACTAGGAAAGAAATGCTGCCAACACCTTTAGGAAAATATTCTAATGTGCATCGCTGAGGTGCAAAATTAATCTATAGATATAAAAGAATGTGTCTGTATATGATGGTCATACGCTGGTCCAGGTAGGCCACTTTGCCTTCAAGAAATTTTGGCTCCTACATCTAACTACCTCCTGATATTTTGATGAAGCCTTAAATTGGATAATTGTTTTAAATTACAATGTATATTGTAGCACTTTTTCATCGTGTTCATATACTAACTCACCCATTTGTGTGATAAATAGCTGAGTTAAATGTTTTGAATTATTAATCAAACTTTGCACACACAGACACAAACAAACTTAGACTAGTGATGAACTCTTCTCCCCTTTTTTGCCATTACATACACCCCTTATGCCTTATAGAACTTGTCTCCCTCCCCACCCTCCCACCCCCAACCCCCCCCGGCCAAATCAATAACTCCTGTTTTTAAATCAATGATCAGCGCATCAAAAACTGCAGGCAATACATATACTTCGGTGTAAATATTAACAGTGACATTGTAAATGAACTACAGCTTAAGCTGAAAGAAAGGGTAAGACCTCTTAAAACGCTTGCCGAAAAGCACATTGGTATTAATGTCAAATATGTCATAATGTTCAACATGAAGTTCATCACAGGTCACTAGTCGAGTACCATGCCCTGCACCATATTAGTCTTCGCAGTACAAGGCTGAAAGCTTAAGTGAAAATTCAAAATGAAGCCATGAAGATAATTCTTGGCCCCCCAGATGCACAAGAATCATCAACATGATGGAGGAGCTGAGACTTCCAATATCTCTCAGAATGTTCGGTAATATGTTTATTGTTTGTGGTGTGTGTCTATGTACATATTAACACGATGTACTGAACGGGGTGAGAATAGCTTGAGCTACCTCATCCCTTTGTGTGTATTTTACATCAATAAACTTATTTCAATTTTAATTCAATTTCAATTTCCAACCATATATGAAAGAATTGAGCAGCCCAATTCTACCTTCTGCGTAAGGTTGATGAGAGAATCAACATAACTCTTACTTATTATTATTATTATTATTATTTTCTACCACAGACGTGGCCACACATTTACAATGCTAACCAGCATATATACATTTTCTTCTGTCCTCCATGGACAGGTTGAGAGATTTGTCAAACATATAGTTCAGGGATTTATTGAACAATCAACCACAGAAGGTGATTGAAAATGCTAGGCTAAGCTACATACGTAAATACATAGATACACAGATTTATGTATGCTACATAAAGTGTTCGATGTGTCTTTTATATAGATAACCCTTACTACTTAGAGAAAAACTGATTTATAGAGGGGAAAAACTCTTTATAGACGGGAAAGTGTTGCCAACGCACCAGCGGACAACCTATATGTAACTTGGTCGAGTTAAAGTAAGTTTATTGAGACAAGAAAAAAAATACATCTCAAAGGGATAGAGTAGCTTAGCCTACTTCTACCCCCAAGATATATGTAACTTGGTTGAGTAGAAGTGCTATAAATCTCAGTAAACTGAATATTCCTATTTTATGCATTGTACTAGCTAATGTGGTAACCCATCCTCCTGTTTAGATAGTACCTATTGTGACGATCGTCAATAGTCACGAATTCGAACGTACTTAGCTTTTAGATAGTAGTATACTGACTAGTAAGGAATTATTTAAGAAAATGAAGCTAAAAAATAAACTTAAATATTCTTGGGCCTAGTAAAGCACACACATATGTACTATATTAGGCCTCATATATCGTATATTAGGCCTAGGAAGATTAGATGAGGTTAGTATAGTTTGTCGAAGAAACACAAGTAAAAAATAGTTTTCCGGTTTGTCCAACTCAATAGTTCAGATTTCTACTTTTTAATTTCGTTGTACGTCGATATATACATTACGGTCCTCATCGTTACTATAAGTACTACCAAAACAGGAGGATGAGCTGGATATTCCATTATATCTGTACCGTAAGATACAAGTGTCCTACACGCCCATCAGCAAAAAGAGTAAGGAAAACCCCAGCATTCCTGAAAGCCATGACACTTGAAACTATTGATTTCTTAATAAATAACTTACGGCCTCACGAGCACTATGCTTAGGCTGATGGGTGTGTTCAAATGTCAACAGGTCGCACTGCAGCAGCCTGGAGAGCATGATGATGACAACGTTCAACTATCCCTCCAGAGGACCCAAAACAGAAAACGGGACAGTACGTCACTTTCGCCAGCGGCTTCCATTTTCTAGTACGACAAATTTTGGCCGTATGTAACGCATTCGTGCGAAAATCGACGTTCTATGTATGACAGGTTGCTTTATGATGCTGATTTCATCCGAAAATTGGTTTTAATATTATTTACACATTTATAATTGTACTCAAGCGTACGTTTGACTTTAAGGAAAAGACGGTAGTTATTAAGGCTTTGTAGCGCTGCTTGTGAATCCGTGCAGATCAGTGCACCATTAGTGTTTCGTTCACGGAATATTAATGCCATAACAATGGCAGTTAGCTCTGCTTGCGTTGAAGAATAATTTTTACTATCCTCGTAGAGACCACTTGAGTGCTAGTAGCCCTCGGGTAAATTCAGGTACTCTAGGTTTAGCCAACTGTTGGGGGATGCATCCTGGGAAAGGTCAGTGGTTGACCTACGTGGGACCTCGATAAATTTAAGTCGATGATCGACAACCAGGAATTAAGATGAGGAAGCCACACTTGCAATGCTCTATAACAATTGTTCAAGAAATGTGTAAATATTTCATTCATACTAATCTACTACTAGAAATGTTAAGCAGATTGATCCAGTTGTCTGGGTACCTAGGTAGTGACTAGTGTATGTCCTCACCTAGTTGTGTTTGCGGGGGTTGAGCTCTGGCTCTTTGGTCCCGCAAATGTAGGCGATCGAGTGTGTTCCTTCCACCGCCTCCCCCTGCATGACTCGTTTCTGTATATTCACCTAGTTATATTCACCTAGTTGTGCTGGCGGGGGTTGAGCTTCGCTCTTTCGGCCCGCCTCTCAACCGTCAATCAGCTGTTACTAACTACTAACTAATTTTTTTGCTCATTATGTGCCTCTGTAACCCTTTCCACTACCACCCACAGGATGGGTATGGGGTGCATAATAAATAGAGCATGTAATAGAGCCAAATTCCTCCACAGGTCCCTCTACACTTGCTAATGGTAGCAACTTCCGAACTCCTTCAGTTTATAAATGCTTCTAGTGTATCAATGGAGGTTTTTATCTATAGTTAAAGGTCAGATAAGATAGGAGGGACTTATCATGGTGTGGGGAGTGAGTGGTGGAGGTGTGATAAGAGAAGAATGAGGTGATGTCTGCGTGTCATTACCTACCTGTACCCAACTGCTGGCAAGAAAGTGGAATGAGAATACATCAATAAAATGACACTGTAGAAGGACTATTGGTCCATGTGAGGCAGCTCATATTTATACAAAAAACAAACTCCTTCACATAGACAATCCAGCACTCTCACGTCAATTATTTACATGAGGGCCACTATCTATCTAGTGCCCACGTCGAGGGTCAGGAAGTCGACGGCTTGCGAAACGTCCCCCCCCCCATTTTTCCCTGAGATTTTTGGTCCAACAGCATTTTTAACTGCAGTAATGACTTGCCATTTACGGCTTCTGCAGGTAGACGGCTCCGAGGGTTTATAACACTATGGGTGAGAAAACATCTCATATTTTCTGTCCAACAATGTGATTTATTTAGCGTGAAGCTGTTGCCCCCTTGTATGTTACATCTGACCTCGTAAAGAAACGGTTTGGATGAATATCCTGCAACTTGTTCAGTATTTTGTGCTTCTAAGAGACCCGGCTTGTCATGCCTGGTGTTGTTACCCCTCACGCCCTCAACCTTTCCTGGTATGAGAGTCCACTTGGTTCTGGAGTGATTTTTGTTGTTCGGTGTTGAACTTTCTTTTGACCGGATATGTCCTCCTGAAGATGAGATCTCCATGCTTGCACACAGTGGTCTCCATGCTTGCATAAAGTGATCCCCATGCTTGCACACAGTGGTCCCCATGCTTGCACACAGTGGTCTCCATGCTTGCACACAGTGGTCCCCCATGCTTGCACATAGTGGTCTCCATGCTTGCACACAGTGGTCCCCCATGCTTGCATAAAGTGATCCCCATGCTTGCACACAGTGGTCCCCATGCTTGCACACAGTGGTCTCCATGCTTGCACACAGTGGTCCCCCATGCTTGCACACAGTGGTCTCCATGCTTGCACACAGTGGTCCCCCATGCTTGCATAAAGTGATCCCCATGCTTGCACACAGTGGTCCCCATGCTTGCACACAGTGGTCTCCATGCTTGCACACAGTGGTCCCCCATGCTTGCACACAGTGGTCTCCATGCTTGCACACAGTGGTCCCCCATGCTTGCATACAGTGATCCCCATGCTTGCACACAGTGGTCCCCATGCTTGCACACAGTGGTCCCCATGCTTGCACATAGTGGTCCCCCATGCTTGCACACAGTGGTCCCCATGCTTGCACACAGTGGTCCCCATGCTTGCACACAGTGGTCTCCATGCTTGCACACAGTGGTCCCCCATGTTTGCATACAGTGATCCCCATGCTTGCACACAGT